TGGTGTAAACATTAATATGAAAGTCAGTAACAAATCACACAAACTAAAGTAGATCGCAGAAATATAAAAACAAATCTGTTGCTTTACCACACTACTTTAGGTCATTCACAGTCACTGTAATAAACACATGTAAACATGTGGACTGCACTAAACACTGTCTGTTAACTTTAGACCAGTGGTTCTCTAACTTTTTTGGTCGCGCCCCACTTTAAACCTATAAAAAAAATCTGCCCCCTTTCCCGAATCCACATCCCTCCTCAGACTACCAAATAATTTCACTAAACATTATGAAAAATTTATACTTTTTTAATTTAAAAAAGCCTACAGGGGAAAAAACACCTGCATCACTTGAAACATTGAAAAATAGCATAGCGAGAATAACATTATTATTATTCTCTTGCTGTTATTTATTTATTTATTGTGGGTTTCATGCTGTCCGCTAAGGCATAGGACACACACAGGCGTTCCTTCTCACCAACGACATAAAAAACCGTGTCTACACCGGACGCGAGCAGCAAAATACAGTAGAAACCATTATAATCAGTGACGCTGTGTACACTGGATGCGACGCGACAACACAAAACCCGACATTAAACTAATGCCTTGTTCTATTTATGAGGTACTGACACAAAGCTAAAATGATTTGCAACGGTCACTTTGCCGCGTCCAGTGTAGAGCTGTTGCGTAGTGAAGCCGAGAGCAAGATATGCCTCGTCATATTTTCTGCATTTAGCTTTTAAATGACCCGCACCTGCCTGGGTCTGTGTGACTTCATCTATGGCTTTTCTCTTCGCTTTCACAAACCGATCCATCTCCCATTCTAATTACATCCTTTGACTGCTTACCGTTTTATTTATTTTCTTTTTCTGCTGATGGCCCGCGCTCGAATTGAAGCAGCGCTGCTTAGACAGATGGGTGTGTCATCAAAGTACTGCGAGAGCTATAAGAGAGCGCGGACGTCTCCATATGCTTTCTCTCGCCGTACTTTGATGTCATACACAGATCTGATCTTCAAGTTGAACACACCTCTTTACTCTCGCGTGTCATGTGACCGTGTAATCGCAGCCTCTGTGATTGAAAAACCGCATCATTTCATATCGCGATATTATCGCAAATGCAATTAATCGTTCAGCCCTATTTTTAACCCAGCATTTTTTAGAGTGTAGGTGCTGCCGAAGAGGTGAAAAAAAACTGTAGAAATCTGCATACACGGTGCAATAAACTTAAAAGCATATTTTAGACTTTTCTTTCCTCTAAGTCAGAAACAACACTTTATAAAAATCCAAAACTAGCCCAAAATGTCAACGTATTAAAAATGGCTTTAGCTTGTAGTGTCTTCCCTTAATACATGAAGTGAAACTTCTGTAATGTGACATTTATTGCGTTTTCCCAAACGCCCCATTGACTGTACCTTGTCAGAGTTGTTTCTGAGGGTCACTGATTTCCCCTCCAGGTCGATTTCCTCGATACTGACGCTTCCCGTCGCTTCGGCCTCCTGGCTGATCTGGACTTTGGGAGCAGCGGTGGATGCTTCCTCCAGCTCCACGCGCTTTCTCTTGGCGCGGGAGCTACGTGAAGACGTAGAAGTGCTGCTCGCTGTGGTGCGGGACACCGTGACCCGTGAGGATGGGCTGGGAGACAACTTCAGCCTAGACGAGACGGGACACACATGCGTTAAAACGAACAGGAAGTCACATATGTCATAGTAAAAATTGAGTAGAAAAGATGAACGGGCAACCGCACCATTAAAACGAAATGTTGATGCGACTTCGCTGTCGTCTTACCTTTCCATTCTATCATCTGTGCTCCAAATATCTCAACTGCAGACTATCTTTAACTCGTCTCAATCTTCAAGATGGTCTAAGCTGCCTGCTGGTCTTCAAGTCTTTGTGCTAAATGAGCTTTCTGACCTCTCGTTTTTCGACAGCGCCGCTATCGGTTCGCTCGCGCACAAGTGAAACACACAATTATCATTCCAGCGTGACATTTTACAACCTACCCTGCTCCTCCGGCACATCAAGTATGTCAAGTATGAAGCACAAAAATGTGAAGTGTGCTTGGCAAGCGTTTCTGAACAAGTTATGGACCTCGGGTATGCGTGAAGACGAATGACGATAATAATCAGCTGCCAGAGCTCCATCAGCAGATGCTAAACGCTCAACAAAGCCTAGTTTGTGTGCGTTGCTGACTTAAATGCTTGATTGTGTCACAAAACCAAGCGGGCTTCCTACATTGATGGAGTTTTCTGCCGCAGACTTGCCTGAAGCACTTTAAAAACCTAGTAATCTGCCGACCACTCGTGTTCAAACACGTTTCAAAAGCTAACAAGCTGCCTAACAAGTCACCATTTGTAGACAAGGTACAGCATTCTTAGGTTTTAAAGTCAGTTTTGAAGCATTTTGGACATCAGGCACATTAGAAACTTGCTCCAATGTGTCTGATGCCCGATATGCTTTCTCAATAGGCAGCACTTTTGGCCACAGGTAGGTAGGGGTGTGCGATAATGACAAAAAAAAATGATATCTCGATATTTTACTGGGCATGTTATTGTGCTGGTGTTTTGGCAGGTTTAGGACAGCTGACTCCCGAAGCTTTTGTTATTCTTCATAATCTGTGCGGCGGTTAGTTTGCAGGAGTAACAGAAATTCACTTTTCCATTAAGTTTAAATAGATTTTTACCTTTTATGGGCATTTTTACCTTTATAAGGCAAATTTTTTGTCTAACTTAATTACATGCATGCATCGTCTTTTGTGTCAAATACTTACATTTAATCAATAAATTTAAACAGTTAGACACTACAGGGCTGTTACCAATCAAATAAAATCAGTATCAACAAAATTTGTGTTTGCGATGCAGAGGTGGCACAGAATCTGCATCTGAAGTGTCATTTAGATGCATTTACACAGACTGTTTAATGCAGGACATGAATGCAGTTATAAATGCATAATTAACGTTTTGATGTTTTAGAAACAAAACGTTCAATAGTGATATTTGAAATTACTTTTAAACCTAAAATCGCCAGTAGGTGGTGGCAAATCACTGCATGAGTGAGTCATTGAATCACTCATTCAACCGATTCATTGATTCAGTAACGAAACACTGTCATGTGTTGCTCAGAGACGCAAAACAGTTCTGCTGTGGCTTTATTTGAAACGATTAGTCGACAATAAACGGTCAACAAATATTTTTGTCGTCAAATAGTAATTTGATCTCATATGACCTGTAAGAGCCTGCAATAACACTGTTTGACCAGTGTGGCGCTGTAGCGCAAGACTGTAATTCAGCTCTCCCGGATGAAATTCAAGAGAAGACACAGAGTCCTCAGCAGAACCTGACGCTGCTAAAAGCAGTTTAAATTAATATGTAAATATGTCTTGTGCACTTTACTCTAAATAACAAAATAAACACACAACAAATGACAGTGGTGAGAAAACAGCGGTTAAGAAAGCATCTGATAATAGCGAATGTGGTTAAGTTTGCACCAGCTCTGCAATCGGCTCTACAGTCACGTCATGTTTGTTGCAGCCCTATTTGAAACTATTTTCGTTGACAAAATACAGCAAAAACAAGAACTGCTGTGTCTAAAATGTAAGTCACTTTATATTAACTTCTTGTTTATCGGACTGTTTTATAAAATCAATATCACATTTGAAATCGTGCTGATATTTGGAGAAAAAAAAAACTGTACTCTTTGTGTGATATTAACGATATCAGATGACATAAATATAAAAGACATATAAAAGTCATACGAGGACATATTTGCCCCATATTTGAATTTGATGGAATTCTAAATGTATCTTAACAGACTAAAACATGCAGTAAAAGCGTGAACTCTCTGGGTGTGTTTTTGCGATATACTCGATAATGTCAAATCGCATATCGTTTAAAGGGGTGGTTGATTGCGATTTCACTTTTTTAACGTTAGTTAGTGTGTAATGTTGCTGTTTGAGCACAAACAATGTCTGCAAAGCTGCAAAGTTACAAAGCTGAAAGTTCAATGCAAACGGAGATATCCTCTTTTAAAATTCTGGCAATTTAAAGGGGTCATATGATGCGATTTCAAGTTTTCCTTTCTCTTTGGAGTGTTACAAGCTCTTGGTGCATAAAGAAGATCTGTAAAGTTGCAAAGACTAAAGTCTCAAAACCAAAGAGATATTCTTTATCAAAGTTAAGACTCTGCCACGCCCTCCTAAAACGGCTCGTTCTAACACGCCCCCACATATCTACCTCACTATGTGGAAATATTAGCAACCGTATATTAAAAGCTAACATAAGCAGTAGCATTTACAAATAACAGTGCATCTAAAAGTACGAGACAACAACAAACAAGAAACATAGGCCTACCATTAAAAGCCATGCTTGCACAGGTTCTGCACGATCCTCTTCAATAATATCCTCTACTTCTCAATCGGGCTCAAACTGATAAGTGATATTAACGACGCCGTTGTTTACAATACAACCGGAGCACATGCCGCTGAGGTGAGGGGCGGGACGATTAGACGCGCACTAGAGGCGGTTTAGCCAATCACAACACACTGGGCTAGCTAACCAATCAGAGCCCATTGCCTATTTCTGAGGGTGGGGCTTCATAAAAACAGGAAAAGATCAGGTCGTTTCTCAGAGAAGGGACAGAGCGGTGTGGAACAAAGGTAAATTATGTGAAAAATAATGCATATTTTTAAACACGAAGCATTAACACATTTTAGACTGCACCCCATAAACACAATCAAGCCTAGAAAAAAAACAGTGAACCACCCCTTTAAACAACAATTATGATATTCTCGTAAATAATATATATCACACACCCCAAACCACAGGCCAGTTTGAATGCGTTTCAAAAGCCCAAAACTGCGGTTTAGGATGGCAGCTCATTTGGCCTCCATTCCTGTCATGTTTACATGATTATTGGTTTGAGCGTTTAAAGACGTGGGTCCTGTAGACTCAAAGACGCGGCAGGCTCTCACCTGTCCTCCTCGCCCTCCAGCAGCTTCCTGTAGGCGTTGATCTCCATGTCCAGGGCCAGTTTGACGTCCAGCAGCTCCTGGTACTCGTTGAGCTGCTGCTGCATGCACTCCCTCATCTCGGCCATCTCGCGCTCTTTGGCGTCCAGCTGTCGGCGGTACTTATCCCGGTCGCTGGATAGCATGTCCTCCAGCTCGCGGATGCGCTCCTCTGCGGCAGACGCCTGCGGGGGAAAAACAAGTTGTGAATGACAGGTAGCAATTCACTGGGCCAGTTCTGCTGCTCAGTATTACAACATAGTGTGGTGTTTTCCTCTAACACTACAGGAGAACTCAGAGAGAACTAAAGTTTCAACTCAAAAGGCTTTCAACTGGGACATTTAGCTTTTGAGTTAATGCAGATTTTGACATTAAATTTTTTCCCCCAAAGAGCACATATGCTCTAAAGTTAAAAACTTAGGAGCACATATAATAAAAAAAATAAACTGTAGGAGCACAATGAAAATCGATCCAATTTATCACACTTAATAAATAGATAAAATTTTATAATTTATTACAATACAAAGATTTTCAAATATTTTAGGTTTAAACTGTATTTAATAATTATGTAACTATGTATAGGCCTACTTTAAACTTTATAACCTGTGTGTGTATGTACATGCACATACATATATATTAGTGCCGTCAAAATTAGCGCATAAAACCATATGTAAAATATATTACATAAAACCATAAAATATTTTTAAAATTAGTTATACGAATAATGTGGAACATTTTTTGATGTATAGTCAGCGAATGAGCCAAAGTTATACGAATAAGGTAAAATGTAAAAAAGTCATTATCATCAAAATGAATATTTAAATTACTTAAACATTTTTTTTTTAAAGTTTAATAAGTTAAAATGATTTAAGACCCATAGTAGCATACGCGAGCGAAACGTTACTGTCGAGTCCTGTATTATGGAAACACTGGCCAAATCCTGCCTAATAAAGTACATGCTGCAATGTAGTACGCTGAATTTGAGTCATAAAACTACTTTAACGTCACTAGTGCAAGTTTATGGTTTTATGGAGTTTATGGGCAACATTCACCCTAAAACCCAAGCATACATTATTGATTAGAACATTCACAGGAACTAGCATGCCAAGTAATATGAATGAAGAAGCTGTAGCTTCATTTAGGACACGGCAGGCCGTACGTACCTGTTTCTGCAGGGCGCTGAGCTGATAGCTCAGGCCCTCGATCCTCATGTGAGCTTCCTGGAGCTCCTCGCGGGCGGTGAGCACTGCCTTATCGTTCATGTCAGACGAAACCTTGGCGTTATCCAGCTGCAGAGAGAAGATTTTAAGTTTGCAAACAAACCACGTTTCCAAACAGCGGCTTTATTTGTGAATCTAGCATTTCTGACTTTGGCCTTGAAGGTCTGCTGCAGCTCGTCCTTGTAGATCTGCACTTGCTCCTCGTGCTGTCTGCGCAGATCCTGCAGCGCCTGCGCCAGCTTGAACTCGTAGTCATGCTGTATGCCCGAGTCCACCTCCACCATGCGCTTCTCACGACGCTGGCGAGTCTCACGCACCTCCTGCATTACACATTCATGTTTTAGATCTGACCTTTGACCGGGGCACATATTGACTAGAAAGCAATGTTGGACCGATATATCGGCCGATATTTGGCACTCTTTAAATGATTGGCCAATATTTTCTCCTGTCGGAATTAGGGGTGTGCGATATATATCGTCTGCGATAATATCGTAATTGTTGTTTTAACGATGTGCGATTTGACATTATTGAGTATTTTGCAAAAACCATTCAAAACATCTCTACAGAGCGCATGCATACATTACGTGAAGTCTAGACTAGTGCGTGTGCGGATTTAGTGTGTTTTCTTTCACTGCATGATTCAGGCTATTAAAATGCATTTAGAATGATCACAAATTCAAGACATGGCAGAAAATTTATATTTATACCACTTCATATAGTTATTCAATTTCACACGAAGAGTGCCGTTTTTCTCCAAAAATTACCATGATTACAAATGATGAATTCAATAAACTAAGTTAATTAAGATACTTACGTTTTAGACACCATATTGCTTGTTTTTGCTTTATTTCGCCAACAAAAATCATCCCGAATACAGCCACAGCGCTGTTTTGTGTCTCTGAGCAACATGACGGTGTTTCGTTCTTGAACTAATCAACCGTTTAAATGAATCGGTTCAATCGCAATGACTCACTTATTAAGAGTGACCTGCTGCCACCTACTGGCGGTTTTAATTTCAAATTTCAGCTTTTTTTTGTTGTTGATTTTTTCATGTTTTAAATCATTTCAAATATCAGTTTTCAACGTTTTATGTTTAATATATCAAAACATTATTTATGCATTTGTAATTGCAGGTTAAATGCATTAAACTTATTGGAAAAGATACATTTCTATCAGTATGAACTGACCACCATAGCACAGAATATGAAGAATATTAAAAACATTAGGAGTCAGCTGTCTTCGGCAGTGCTTAAGATACCAGCACAATAACACACTCGGCAAAATATCGTCTAATTATCGTTATCAATAAAATCCCAGAAAATATCGAGATATAATTTTTTGTCAATATCGCACACCCCTAGTCGGAAGATGACTTTTACTTTGACAGAGGACTAGGGTTGGGAATCGAAAATCGATTCCGATTCCAGAATCGGATAATTGTTGTCAAATTAAAATTTAGATTCCGCCTATCGATTCCTATGCGCTTTTTTTTTTCTTCTGCCAGGACCTTGCTCGCTAATCTAAGCGCTCCAAAGTTTGGCTACATTAGCAACCAGAAGCCAAAAAAGCCAAGTATAATATCTGTGATAGCTAAACATGTCGCAAGAGAGGTGTCACCACCAACATGACAAAGCACTTTAATTTAATAGATCGTTAAAGTTCGCGAAGACAATTCAAACACCAACGTGATTCTATTCCTAAATTGCAATGATTCGTCCGTTTCATTCCTCAACCTTTGGCGTGTGCGATCAATGTTGTGATCACGTGGTTCGTCCGTGCAGCGTGCGATCACATCAGAGTGATTTGAACATTTAAATCTGCGTTCGCGCTGCCGCTGACCAAAAGAGAGCAGCTGTCGTATATGTATGAAACAGCTTCACAGTCTTCTCAGCCACACAGTATCATTATTTCTGTTACAAACATTCAAATCACAGAAGTACTGGGATAAAAGTTTATAGTTCGGATATAAACTCTGATGTGTATGGTAGCGATTAAAATAGAGTATATCACCTTTTGAAAGTAATTTGACACTTCAAATGAAGATTTATCGATTACATTGCTACGCCAGTAGGTGGCTGTATTGGTCTTTGAATCATACAAGAGATTAATTCAAGAACGCGGATTCGTCCAGTAAGGAAACAAGTACATCTTGAGTGAGTCATTGAATCATTCATTCATAAATCACATGTGATTGTTTAGTCGTCTAATGTTTTTTTTTCCCAGAATAATGAGAACCACAACTTCTATTGGGGGGAAAAAAGAAGAAAACTCAATTTAACCAGAATCATGCCGTTCTATTTTGCACACAAACCGCTCTTAAAGAGTCCAGTTTTTAGGTAGCCTGTTGATTCAGCTCCAGTAAATGGTTTGCAAAAATAAATGTTTGATATCATTATTTAATCACATTGGAATCGAAAAGTATCAGAATAGATAAAATTCAAACGATACCCAACCCTACAGTGGACAGTTTTATTTTGACATCGTCATTTGATTGTCTTTTATTGGCAACAGCGAGCAGCACTGACCTCCTCAAACATGCTCTTCCTGAACTCCAGCTCCTCCGTCAGACTCTGGCAGCGGTTTTCCAGATCCACCCTCATTAGCGTCTCCGCCTCCAGCTGTTTCTTGGCCACGCCGTGAGCATCTTCAGCCTGAAACAGTGGACGAATGCCTCCGTTAGACGCTGTTCTGAAGCGAAGGAAGCTGAAATGTGACTTGAGGGACTTACTTTGGCCAGCTGAGCCTTCAGGTCGGCGAGTTCGGCGGAGAGGGAGTTGTTCTCGCTGAGGGCCGTGTTGAGAGCCGCCTCTTTCTTGTTGTATTGCGCTTCCAGTTCCTTGATTCGAGCCTGAGCCAAAGCCAGGTCTCCATCCTTCTTCTTATAGCTGGAAAACAAATTCAGACGGCCAATCTTTGGATTAATAAAGAGTCAAAACCAATCTTTAGGATAGGAACGGCTGTCAATCATGATGTTTTTGTTAACATCCATTAGACTTCTTGTTGTTTTCATATCAAAAATGTGTGGTAAAGATGATTTATTGATGCCAAAGACCAATAAACGAAGTTTTATTGAACAAAGAGATGTACTTGTTTATTACTATATTCTTAAAAGATGTATTTTCCTCATTAAACCACCAATTAAGTGTTAACTTTGACAGCTTTAACTGTACTAAGATATTCAGTATAACATATTGATAAACAAGTTTCATAATTTAAAAAAGATATGATATAAAACGTAAATGTATCACATAAAAATAAGCAACACTGATGTTATATAAATGATATATAAAAATTACAAAAAAAACAAAAGTTATTAAAATCTAAAAATATAAATATTACAAGTTAAAAAATTATTAAAAATACAAAAAGGTTATAAAATGTAAATTATAATAAATAAATACAAAAATATAAAATATTATGAATAAAAATATATTTTAAATATAGATGATAAATATAAAATACAAATACAACCCACATAAAAAATAATTATGCATAATATTGCTGTCATTATTTTATTAACATATGAATAGAAATACATTTTAAATAGACGATAAAAATAAAATTGAAACATAATACAAATCACATTATTAATAATACTAATAATAAAAATATATATATATATAAAACAATATCGTTGTCATTTTTTATTAAAATAAATATACATTTTTATTGCAAGTTAGAATAATATTAATGTAGGCTGGGTTTCACATGCGTCTACACGCCTATCAGCGAACAAAACATTTAATCCCTCTACAAACTATTTCCTATATTTTTACAGTTGCTACAACACAAGCTTTGCTAACATTTCATATGACGTAATTGAGATTCTCAATGCTGTACGAATACAAAACAATCCCCTAAGTGCAGATAAAACTGGTGAAATCTGCGTGACAAATGCAGGTTGGTAGCATGTTACACACACTGCTGCGGTTAAAACAGTCGCCCACAATCGAGCACATAGCAACAGACTTCCTGCTTATTTGCGCTCATTAGCAACAAGATCAACCAAACGCGGCGTCTGAAGCAAATGCACAAACCGCGTAAAGTTAAACAGAAATCTCTGAGCTGCTGTTCTTCTGGTCGCATTATTCAAAGCAGCAGATGGAAGCGGATTTAAGCCAGGTTAGTTAAGCCCAACTTATGGAAACGTACAATAAAATAATATAAAAAATTTATAATTCAGAATTTCATACAATTCTGACTATCAGAAATATAAACACAGAATTACAAGAAATAAACGTGCAAATCCGGGAAAAAAAGTCTGAATTAAATCTAATTCGAAATATTAACGAAAACTGCATCAGTGATGCTAAAAACACTGATTCAAACACATTATAACAAGCTACTTGATGATTTCAGGACCCTACAAGTCTCAAATGAAAACCTTAAGCAACTACTATCAGACATTACTTGTAAATAAACTCGGTTTGAGCGGAAATGACTTAACGTGCATGTCAGAATGCTTTTAAACGACGATGCAAGACGTTAAAGGGATAGTTCACCCAAAAATTAAAATGTGATGTTTATCTGCTTACCCGCAGGGCATCCAAGATGTAGGTGACTGTGTTTCTTCAGTAGAACACATGATGATTTTTAACTTTAACCGTTGCAGTCTGTCAGTCATATAATGCATGGCAATGTAACAAAATCTATGAGTGTAAAAAAAACATGCACAGACAAATCCAAATTAAACCCTGCAGCTCGTGACGACACATTGATGTCCTAAGACACGAAACAATCGGTTTGTGCGAGAAACCCAACAGTATTTATATCATTTTTTACCTCTAATACACCACTATGTCCAGCTGTCTTTGAGCACGCGCATGGTATCCGGTGCGTGAGGTGTGTACGCGCTCTGCCGTAGTTTACGTTAATGGGTGTGTTGGTATCCAGCCGAAGAGCAATCAACCATAACTTCAGGCGAGCCGGCTCAGAAGCTGGGAATACGTGGAAAGTCACCACTCTCCGAATGAGTTCCCGCGAGAGAACGTAATCTTTTAGTTTTAAGTCGGTTTGAACAATCTGGATAAGCGCAAGTAAGTACCATTTTGATTAGCCGTCGTACCTACAATGACTGTGCACACAATGAGTGACGTATACGCGCGAGAGATCACTTCCTAAGACACGAAACAATCGGTTTGTGCGAGAAACCCAACAGTATTTATATCATTTTTTACCTCTAATACACCACTATGTCCAGCTGTCTTTGAGCACGCGCATGGTATCCGGTGCGTGAGGTGTGTACCCGCTCTGCCGTAGTTTACGTTAATGGGTGTGTTGATATCCAGCCGAAGAGCAATAAACCATAACTTCAAGTGAGCAGGCTCAGAAGTTGGGAATACGTGGAAAGTCACCACTCCCGAATGAGTTCCCGCGAGAGAACGTGATCTTTTAATTTTAAGTCGGTTTGAACAATCTGGATAAGCGCAAGTAAGTACCATTTTGATTAGCCGTCGTACCTACAATGACTGTGCACACAATGAGTGACGTATACGCGCGAGAGATCACTTCCGGCGCTTGCGTAAACTACGGCAGAGCACGTACACACCTTATGCACCGGATACCGTGCGCGCGCTTAAAGCAGCTGGACATAGTGGTGTATTAGAGGTAGAAAATGATATAAATACTGTTGGGTTTCTGGCACGAACCGATCGTTTCGTGTGTTAGGACATCAATGTGTCGTCACGAGCCGCAGGGTTTAATTTGGATTTGTCGGTGCATGTTTTTTTTACTCTCATAGATTTTGTTACCATTGCCATGCATTATACGACTGACAGACTGCAACGGTTAAAGTAAAAAATAATCATTTGTGTTCTACTGAAGAAACAAAGTCACCTACATCTTGGATGCCCCGGGGGTAAGCAGATAAACATCACATTTACATTTCTGGGTGAACTATCCCTTTAAACTGCATTCAAACTTTTTTTTTTTGCATAACTGATCTATAATGGGGGAGGGGTTTGATGTGGTCCCCAATCAAAACAAAGTCAGCAGATGGAGATCTCGGATTCAAATTTTGAAAAGTGCCTTTGGCCACTCCCAAACTTTGAGGAAAACGCCCAAACACTCCAGGACGACACTCAGAAGTCCAGGAACACACTTTTAACGTGCATTTGAACACACACATGCATAACTAAGAGATCAACTCGTGCATAAATAAAAACAAAACGCACAAATTAGAAGCATATGGACACAGTTTACAGGCCCCACTCCCTGAGTGCATTTTATAGAGCTCACATGCAATGCATTTAAGTGCATGGATTTGCATATATGCAAAATACGG